CATCACTTTACAAGTGAATTGTTTGATGGCTGAGCTCTTAATATACGCTACCCGTGTCTAATAAAAATTTGAGGACGTTTATTATTATTATTATTATTATTATTATTATTATTATTATTATTATTATTATTATTATTATTACTTTTTTCCGAAAACTATGTTTTCATTAAAAAATGTAATTACGATAACATCATCACCGTTAAATTAATACAAGGTATTATAAATAAATTATCTACATCCACACACCGTTGAGAGGATAAGAAATGGAATGTCTAAACGTTTAAAAAATCTATACATAATAGTATGTTAAAAAGCAAATGTTTAATAAACTACATCTTAAACTCAATCTAACTATGAATAAAATATGAATATACAGAAAATTATACGTACAGACAGACAAACAGACAGACAAATAGACAGACAAACAGACAGATAGACAGACAAACCTCGAACTAGCCCAACCGGTGAGAAGATTGAAAGCTCCCCAGACCAGCAAGCCCTTGGCCAACCCAATCCCGTTAATGATTGGAACCGTCATCATGTTACCTGCATGTGAATTATAAATAATGATAATAATATAGTATAATAATAATAACAACAACAAACACGCAAACATACGCGTACAAAACACACACAACAACAACAATAATAATAATTATCCTCTCATGGATGGAAAAATAATTAAATGGAAATGACAAAATCATTCTCACCAAATTAATTTCTTGAGAAGCACAACAAAAAATGTAATTAATTGACAGAAAATAATTCATAAAACCGCAAATATAAAATCATTCTATCCGGCTAGTGTGTTAGCTCAGGCAGTAGAGTTGCTATACTTTTGAAAAAGGTCTGTTGAGTTGACAGGGATCGAATGCTACCTGGGCTAATTTCAAGGCTACACTTTCCATCACCAGCACTACACAGACATATTACACGAGAAGAAATATTTAAACAAATGATGTTTCATGGAAATTTTATTTGGTAGATTGTTTGTTTGTATGCATGTTTGCTTGTTTGTATGTATGTTTACTTATTTACATATATGTGCATATTCGTCTGCTGAGCTGGGAGGAAATCTGTGTTTGCTCACGTAGATCGCGAAATTGTTTATTTACACTAATTATAATATTAATAATTATCGTTGTTGTTATTAAGGCTTTTCTCAATGTTATTGACTTTTAGTAACACATGTATGTGTGTGTGTGTGCGTGCGTGCATGCGTGTAGTATTATTTATTCGTGGTGCGTACATTAACAAAAAATTTCTTTTCACACACACACACATCCACACACACACACACACACACACACACACACACACACACACACACACACACACACATCCACACACACACACACACATCCACATACACACACACACACCCACAAACACACACACACAGCATCGAGAATGTAGCATCTCGAACTTCGAACATTTCGAACTTCTTTCGTTTCCATTTAAAGTACACGCACCGCCATGGTTAAGAAGAAATGAAACTAATGATTGAAATACTTTTTTTAACTCTTTTACTACTTTGATGTTAGCAGTAGCATTACTACTTCTGGCAATAATATCAGTATTTACATTGTCAGGGTCGACCCTTGACCTTACGAAAGATATATATATATATATATATATATATATATATATATATATATTCGATATATATTTGTATATATATATATGTGTGCGTGTGTGTTTCTTTGTGTGCGTGTGCGCCTGTGTTTGTGTGCGCAAGTTTTAATGCAATGTGCGATGTTTTGAATAGTAAACTGAATCCTAGGTAAGAAAATGTATAAAATAAATAGAACCATAAAGAGAATTTCTTGAAAAAATTGTAGTAGATATTGTCAAATAAAAATCTGCGAATTAGCGGTCGGTCGGCAAATAAGCAGACGCAGAAAAAATTCCACGCTGTTCCAGTGGTAAATTGCGTGCTGACCGGTATCAAATGCAGACCTTGCCAAAGATTAATCTTCTTGTATGATATGATTGATGTGATGATACGTTCTCTTAACACGTATGCATGTATGTTTGTTTGCCTGTTTGTTCGTTCGTTCGTTCGTTCGTTTGTTCGTTTGTTTGTTTGTTTGTAGGTGCCGTGTGGTAAGGATTAGTAGGGGTCTTATTTAAGTGAGGAAGAAGAATTAAATGCAACAGTAGAGGAAATTAAAAACTGCAAGCAGCTCTCTGAAATTGATAGGAGAAAGAGAGAGAGTGAGAGAGAGAGAAAGAGGGGGAGAATGAGAGAGAGAGAGAGAAAAAAAAAAGAGAGAGAGAAAGAGAGAGAGAGAGAAAGAGAGAAAGAGAGAGCCGCAATAATGAAGAATTCATGTTACAAACAAGAAATGTTGAAAATGTCAGGAAATATTTCTAAACGAAATTTGAAGAAACGGCTTAATATAAGAAGAAATAAACTTCTACGATATGGAATATCGATAATATAATAATTCTGTCGCATGAATGTTTGTGTGTACGTATGCATGTACGTATAAGTGTATGAGTGTGTGCGTTGGTATGCGTGTGTATATATGTGTGTGTGTACGTGTATGTGTGTGTAGGTAGCATATCTTTAAGAAATCAACGTCTAGCGTATGGCAGATGTTTGAGATGCTATCATTGATCGACGATTAATTATTCACTATTTACGCTTTTATACTTTTAATTGCTCTTTTGTTATTATATATATATATATATAATAAATATGTAAAAGTGTTAATTTTATTATTATTAATAACAAAATTATTAATAATAATAACAAAAATCATAATAACCCGTGCACCAGAGCCACCCACCAATCATGGAGAGGGGTCTGTAAGCTGGGAAGCCCCTGATGGCGAAACACACCACACCTGTCGACCATACCCCGGAACAGAGCACCCACTGGAAGAATATTCCTTCAATGAATAAGGGAATGAGTGAGTGAATGAATGAATTAATCAATGAGTCAATTAATTAGCTAACGAATGAAGAAATAATTGAATAAATTAATGAACTAATAGATACGGATTGATGAGAAAATGAATGATTGATTTGTTGGTTAAATATTTATGTGGATGGATGAGTGGAGATGAGTATGAATGTTTTGGGGAAAATGAAAAATTAATAAACTTAAAAATAAACTCGCAAAACGTTGCATCGTATCTCTAAATTTTGATAATATTTAAAATTTTAAAACAATGCAACGAGAGTTGTTTTACACCATAAAATTGATGCAAACACACACACACACTCCACACACACACACACACACAAACACGCACGCACACAGAGTACGTTGGAATATCTTGATGAATGATAGACAATGATCAAAAAAAATGTTCGACATGATAAAAATCCTCATAAAGAGATGGCAATAATAATTTGAATGATGACGACGACGACGTTGTCGATGGCTGCGGTAAGAATTATGGTAAAAATTGTGGTGAAAACTTAAAAATAGGGTACCAAAATCATAAAAAAAATTATCAACCATTCCCTGAGTAGAACTTCTTAACTGGCAAAAAGTTGCTTCCAAAAAACAAGACAGCTACGAGGACGGCTACGTATCCGAGAGCAGATGATCCGGCGCCAGCAGGTGCAACTGTCGTGATGTCTATCGTAAAGTTTACTGTGATAAGTTCTGTATACATTTTCAAGTTTTTTATTATTAAATATTATGTATATTTTTATTTCTGCGAAATGTTTGTCCTGAGTAGATTTTTTGTGAAAATTTTTTTTTGGCCTTTGTACCTGCAAATAAAAAATTTTCTATTACTAAAATCCTCACACACAATAATAAGACTAAAATTTCAAACAGCGTAAATTTATGGCTGGGTCATTCTCCGTCATCTTAAACGATTTTTAACTATGAAGAACCAAACGTTTTTTAATTTTTAAAATTTGTTTATATAGTGCTTTTATAGCTTAACAACATATCAAAAAATAAAATTGGCGTTTGCTTTCTTTGAAAAATAAAACAACTTCAAAAACAGGCAAAACAAATTTTTTTCAAGTGTCAATTTTTTTTTTTTTCAATTTAAAATTATTATACAACGTGCTAATGTGTTTAAAAACAGTTTCAGGAAGAGTTATGTGAATTTTTCCAACATAAGAAATGTTATCATCAGGTATAAGAATCAAAATATGTTTAAATGGTACATAGCAAATATCTACATTTTTAGGCCAATAAAAAATATTTTCTTTAAATTTCTTCAGACAGTTAACTTTTAAATCATCATTTTTATCATCTCTTTCTATGATGTTTCCTAAATACCATTTCTTATTATAGACCAAAGCTACAAATCGACCCGGCTCATAATCATCATTGGTGTCTTCACTTTCATTTTTATTAAAATTGTATCCAAATAAATCTGAAGACAAACGTTTCATCAAAAGTTGATCATTTTTGTCTGGAATAAATGAGTGATGACTTCGACAACCCTTTATTTTATCTGCTGACCTAAATCTTTTTCAAGTATTCCTAGCAGATCTTTAATTTCTTTTTTGTCTACCCAAAAAAATTTAATACCATTTATTTTCGCATCAGCGTATGTGTAAAAATCTCTGGCGTTCAATATCTGATCTTTTGTTAATGCCTGCAAACTTGCTCTTGCAACCAATCTTTTTGTTGTCCCTCCAATTC